AGCAGGACCATGGGAAGACTGTCTCCATGCCCAAAGCATGTGGGACAGAGGTGATGTACAGAATGCCATCCAGAGGGACCTTGACAGGATTGAGAGGTGGAACAATGCAAACCTCATGATGTTTAACAAAATGAAGTGCAAGGTCCTACATCTGGGCCATGGCAATCTCAGGCACAGCTACAGGTTGGGTGGGGAAGTCATTGAAACCAGCGTGAGGAGAAAGACTTGGGAGTGACAGTGAATGAGAAGCTCCCCATGAGCAGCGGTGAATGCTCAGCCTAGAAAGCCAATGGAATCCTGGGCTGCATCCAAAGAAGTGTGGGCAGCAGGTCAAAAGAGGTGATTCTTCCCTCTACTCTGCTCCTCACCTGGAACACTGCACACAGTTCTGGTGGCCTCAACATAAGAAGGACATGGAACTGTTGGAGGAAGTCCAGAGGAGGACACAAAGTTGCTAAGAGGACTGGAGCATCTCCCCTATGAGGACAGGCTGAGGGAGTTGGGGCTGTTCAGCCTGGAGAAGACAAGACTCTGTGGAGACCTCAGAGCAACTTTTCAAGATGTGAAGGGGCTACAAGGTGCTGGAGAGGGACCCTGTTAGGAACTGCAATGATAGGACAAGGGGCAATGGGTTCAAACTGAAGCAGGGAAAGTTTAGGGTAGATATTAGAAAAAAGTGGCTGGAGACAGTGGCACAGGTTGCCCAGGGAGGCTGTGGCTGCTCCAACCCTGGCAGTGTTCAAGGCCAGGCTGGAGGAAGCCTTGAGCAACCTGATCTAGTGAGGAGGTGTCCCTGCCCAGGGCAGGGGGTTGGGACTGAGTGATCTATATTAGGAAGAGACTTTTTACAAAGAGAGTTCCTTCCAAAGTGGCTGCTCCTTTTGCTCGGCTTTGAATGCTGGATCTTAAGGCCCATAAAGTGACCCCATCCTTGTGGTGGATGTCTGCCTTTCAGGATTTTGGGGAAGGGTGATTCAGGAGTGTGGGCATCATCATATCCTTGCAATTCCTGAGGTTATTACAGTGCCTATGCTCAGCAAAGCAGGTAAGCATGGAAGCTCTTCCATCTAAGAGAGATTTGATGTAGCCTATTTACAGCAAGGAGAGACTTTAAAGGGCAGTCGCCACAAGACAATGGAACTCACTGAAGCTATAAAGTCAGCAGTGCAGCTGGGCTGTATTTGATCTCAAAGGTGAAACAAATTACTGATTATACTCCTAGTAAGTTAATTTTTATGGCAAGCTATTGAAGGGATTTATTTCACTACATGAGAAAATAATCCTCTGTAAATAATAAGGTGGCTGGAGGCAGGTGCAGCGCAAGGATCCCTGGGCAGGCTGGAGGTTCAGCTTTGGAATCTGCCTCCACATTTTCAGCCCATACAAACATTTCCTGATTACCTCATAAATGCTCACGGAGCACATCCAGTCCTGCTGCTCCTCTTTACTGTCATCCTTACACTTTGCAGTAAAGCAGTGGAGAAGACGTGGTGGCTGCCCTGACCCTGGCAGTGTTCAAGGCCAGGTTGGATGAAGCCTTGAGCAACCTGATCTAGTGAGGAGGTGTCCCTGCCCAGGGCAGGGGGTTGGGACTGAGTGATCTATATTAGGAAGAGACTTTTTACAAAGAGAGTCATCAGGCATGGGAATGGACTGCCCGGGGAGGTGGTGGATTTACCATCTCTGGAGGTTTTTAATACGAGACTAGATGTGGCACTTAGCTCCATGGTCTAGTAACCACGGTAGGGTTGGACTTTGTGATCTTTGAGGTCTCTTCCAACCAGGTTGATTCTATGATTCTATGATAAGGTTCCATCCAACCCTTCAACATCCTCTGATTCTATGAAAAGCCTTCCTGAGATACACAAACACTAGCAGCAGCCCAAAACCTCCCAGAGTGGGTCCTGTGCTTGGCACTACCAAGGACAGTCTGTGGCTTGGAGCAGCTCAGGAAAGGGGTGACTGGACTAGAGAGTCTTTCCAAGAGAAAAACCGGAAGATGTTTCAGGAAAAATAAAAAGAAACTGAATACTGCGCCTGTTCAGACTTGGGAAAAGTAAAGCAAAAGGAGGAATGAAAGAAACAACGGAGCAGCTCCAACTCCCTAAAAAGCTCTTCTGCTCCGTGGAGCACAGGAGCCCGGCGGTGAGCGGTGAGGGCGGGAGGCCGGCGGTGAGGGCGGGA